TAGGCTCTTCGCTAAAAAGCATTACATGCCGGATATTCAACACAGCGTCATCTGCAGCTATTATTTAATAAATGACAAACAATATCCACCCGATTCCCGCACCAATTTCAAAGCCCATCGCTCACAATTTTTTAAAAATCATTAAAAACTAGTGTTGGGCAGTATCGATACCAAAAGCACTCAGAACTCGATTCTCAAAAGGATCGACAGAACCCGACATTTATAAGTATCGCTACTGAGTACTCCAAAGTACTCGGTACTTACAAAGGAACTCGAAAGTACTCAGAACTTAAAAGAACTCGAAAGTATTCAGTACTAAAAAAGCTATTTTTCAATCACCGGTTTGACACATGTACTCAGTATTAAGTGTCGAATAGATACTTAAAAGTACTGAGCATTATTAACATTTACCGGTACTCAGAAATGATTGTACACAATTTGAAGTTTCAAGTACAATACTTGTACCCAGTATCTAATGTTAACCATTCCTTTCACGTAATTTGGGATTAATATGTTAATTCGAATAAAGTGCTGCCAGCTAGTGAGTTTTATAAACTAAACATCGAAATGTTACTAACATTTATAGATATAAAGAAAGTACTCAGTACTCTCAAAACATACCCTATCTTTAAAAGTTGCGATACCAAAAAACTCGGTCCTCAAAAGTACTCGATTTTCCCAACACTATTAAAAACCAATTCATTTCCTAAGAAATTAGCTACGTGTATGAATGTAACTTAGACGCAGATATTGTATGATATTGCAGAATATTTTGAAGAGAAAAGTCACCATTTCTGGTAACATTTTACCAAAGTGGCAACCGTGCTTGGGAATGCTAAACATTTCAAGGCTTACATCTATTTTAGCAATTTTGTATCCCGTTACATTTTGTATTCATGTCGCCAGCGTTCGGACTTAACGGCAATTGCAGTAGATCTGCTGCATTTTTTAGACGATACAATTATTCTGCCGCGTACTGGGAAAAGTGCGAACCTACTGCAATTTTTCTACCTGTGGCCAGAATAACAATGGCATTTCAAATTTGGCAAGATTTCTTTTTTTACTTTACAAAGCTTTTTCATAAATGTTTAATTGACTCCAAGTGGAAGCAGCTACATCACAGTAATCCAGATTTTTATGCCATCAATTTATTTGTTTTTTCCTTTTAGATGCTTTTTTGCCGATAAAAATTCTATATCTGATGGCTAATATTAATATTTTTAACTAGCCAAAATTTAATCGGATCTACTCCGAAATTCTTCAACCTACTGCAATTTTTCCTATGAGCTAGTGCGGAATGAAAGTTTTTGGTCCGAGCCCTGCATATTGCGTTGCGAATTTGTGAATCTCAGTAGTAGTGCTGCAGAACTATCGATGGTACTATCGATTGCCGAGTACCGGCCAACGAGTTATCAATATCGAAATATCGGGTGTAATATCAATTGTAATAAAAATAAACTTTTTATTTAAAGAATAAACTCTTTATTTTAAAAATACTTTTGACTATAAAGAAATATTTCACTTCGCAGGAAAGTAATAACGGATATCAGATTGTTAAACCTAAGTTAAAGTACGTTCACATATTAATATGATCTCAACCAAATCTTGTTTGTTAATCAACCCATTTACATATACAAATCTACGATTATTAGCTGTCAAATTTGTTGTGCTTGTTTTTCTAGCAACTTAAGAAAAAGTTCAACTTCTTCTCGGTGCCCCTGTGATTACATTTACCTGCTAAATTAAGTAATTTAAATATATTTGAACTTAATATTTTAGTAAAAATGCCTTTACATACCTCTCCCTTTGCAAGCGTCATTTCTTCGCAAAAATAATCGATCAAAATAAGTTGGACCCCGAAAAGTTACCGGTTTAATCTACGATTATTTTATAATTACAGATTAACGAGGGAGAAATTGTGGAGCTAAGCTCGAAAATGAGGAAAATTTACTTTTATATGTTAACCTACGATTACCTTTTACTTTTGCCAACTGTAAAAACCCCTCCATTCCTTCGCCACCATTCTTATATACAAGCATTTATCAAAGAAGCTAGCGCCAAAGCAACTTACATTTTTGACTGTTCTCTATAAACACTAGTAAAGATTTGAAATATAAACAATCGGCAGCGCAAACAATTAAATCGATATTGACTGAAAAATTACATATACTATCGATAGTGCCATCGAATGTTTGCATCACTTCTCATAAGTTTCTAAAATATTGACGCGTGGAATTGAAATTCGGTTTGGTCGTAGAATATTGTGTTAAAAGTGCGGTTTTCTTAACAAAATTAAAGATTGTAAGTGGAAAATAATGTTAAGCAAAAGACATACAAAACGTTTGATGAAAAAAGAATCCGAAAGAATCAAACGCATACTAACTATTAAAAAAAATGTTCGCGAAGTGCAAATGCAGAGCGAACCTGCAAATTGTGCCAATGAAGACTTTAAAATCTTTAATACTCCACAAAATAAAAAATCAATGAATGCACAGCTATGCGATTGGTATTTAAAATTCCTACCTTCTCATAAATGCTGTAAAGAACTATTGTGCATTTCTTATTTCGCAAAACATGTGCGTTCCAAGGAGCGTTTCAGGATTGATTGACAAAAATTCGCAAACTATTGTACGCACCGTTTCTCGCGGCCAATACATCCACATAGGAATTGAAAAGTAATTAATGAAAATAAAAGACGAAATAAAATTAGAAGAGATAATTCAGATCTTTTTAGATATTGGAGTGGACGGATTACCACTATTTAAAAGTTCGTCAGTGGGCCGCTGGTAAATATTAAATTCAAATTACTTGATAAAAAAACCTTCTTATAACTTGTGTTTTGAATTTTTACTTAACTAATTATAGATAGCAACGGTAGATCTTCTTTTGAAAAATGGTGGCATAGAGAAGAAATTCGATAGTATATTTTCTACAAACCTCATTTTTGACTACAATTTGGAAGGCAAACAGAATAAGAAGAAATTGCTAGATTATAGTAAGCTTATGTCTGTTTTATACGGTAATTTTCATTATGTTTATAGGAAGACTTTTCACTTCTAATTTTTAATTATTTTTGAATATTTTTTTGTGCATAGGTACACCGGAAAATCAAAGCCTTGGCGAAAAAACGTTTCATGACTCTTTACGAAAAGCAATAAAGAAATCGAAGAACCGTCATTTTAAAAACCAATGGATTCAACATAAAAAACCAATGGATTCAACATAAAAAAAGTTTACATCTACCGTTTTACTATATGTAATAATAACTTAAGCTTTAACGTTTCATAAACATTTAATGTATGAATACAAATTTAATTTAATTGTTTTAAGTTGTTGTAATACTTTAAAACTAATGTGCTCATAACATTTTTGACTCTTAACGAAAGACATTAAAAGAGCGAAAACCCGCCATTTTAAAAACCAATGGATTGAACATAAACAAAAAAGTTTTCATGTACAACTGTATTACTGTACCTAATAATAACTTAAGCTTTAACGTTTCATAAACATTTAATGTATGAATACAAATTTAATTTAACTTTTTTAAGTTGTAGTACTTTAACAGTAATGTGCTCATAACAGTTTTGACTTAACGAAAAGGATTAAAAGAGCGAAAACCCGTCATTTTAAAAACCAACGGGTTCGAAATAAAAAATGAGAAATGGAATTCTTTCATCTTGTAAACGTTTACACTTTTGATTGGTTTATGAAATCATGTGACATTTTGACCTGTATTTGTCTTTTGTTTTTTTATGTTTACTATTTATTATAAAAGTTTGGCACATTTAATAACAAACACCATATAAAAACCCAACAAACTTTACCAGTTTCCCCCCAAAATTTTAAAACTTTTTATTCAGAGTTTTTGGAAAAATTTTGTGTATGCAGTTTTATAGCCGATTAAATTTAAAACTATACCTAAAATTTTTCAAAAATTCTGAATAGAAAGTTTGACATTTTTAGAGGAAATTGGTAGTTTGTTGAATTTTTATAATTTATGAACAAAATTTGAAATGTGGGTTATATGGTGCTTATTGGTTATTATCCTAGACTCGAATTAAAATATTAAAAGAAAAGAAAAACTGCCAAAACTGGTAAAAGTGTCACATAATTTAATAAGCAGACCACAAAGGTGTTTATGTAATTTGATTCGTTATGTTCTTGATTTAATTATACCTACAGTCGTGGAAAAATAAATAGATACACGACATTTTTTTTTAAATTTTGCCTATTTTTCTTTGGTTTATTTAGTATTTATTATTTTTTTTTTATAAAATTATGGCTTATTATCTAAAACCATATAAATTCATATTTGAAACTTTGTGCAAAAATTATAAAAATTCTGCAAAGCTGCATCAACCTTTTCATCAGATTTTTTAAATTTTTAGTATGTAATTTTATTGCCCATTAAATTTTAGTACAGTTAAGTGTAAGTCTTAAGTTGCTAAAAAATTGCGTTGATTTTTGGCAATTTTTTTAACGCATTTTCTTCCATACAAATTATGTTCGAGAATTTTTTTTTTATGGAAAAAAGTGCGTAATACATTCAGAATAAAAATTATCAAAAATCAGTGCAGGGCTATAAAACTTCATACTCAAAAAATTCTAAAAAATCTGATTAAAAAGTTGAGAATTTAGATGAAATTTCGCAGAATCTTTATAATTTTTGCACAAAGTTTCAAATATGAGTTTATACAGTTTTTGTTAGATAATGAGCTATAATATTATAAAAAAAAAAAAAGTATTAATTAAACAAATGAAAAATAGGAAAAATTTGTTTAAATGTCGTGCCCCTATTTATTTTGCCACCACTGTATATTTTCCACTAAAATTTTTAAATAAAAATGAGAAATTAAAGACTGACAGCCAATTTTATAAAAAGTGAAATAGGCTTGAAAATGCCTTTTAATAGAACAATTACCCATTTTACTTTTTATGAACAAAGCCATAATTATTTGTTTACCTTGGGAGTGTTTATAGAATAGATTACTGAGAACTGGTTACGTAAGGTATGTATGTATGCAGTTATATAACATCTTTCAATAGATGGGTTATAGAATACATTACAAGGAACTGATTATGTAAAGTTTAATGTAATCGATTCGGTAAACTAGTGGGTAAGCGGTGGATAGAGATCTTGTGAAGTCATTACGTAATAAGTTCTCAAACAACTGAATGCAAGTGGTTACCTCCAATGACATGCCCATGTTAAAGTAACCAGTTTTGTAAACCAACTGGTAAGTGGTGCACAGAGGTTATTTCGATTACTTCATGCATTACATGGAATCAAAGTTTTTGCTGGGTAGTATCGTACGAGTACGTTAATAACTAACACTTTTGACGATTACGACGATGCGAAAGTAGCGTAGTTACTCGGCATCGCCGCATCGTCGCATCGTACGATTACTAACAGCATCGTCGATTAGTAACAGCATAGCAGAGTAATAATTCTGCTAATAAATTGGCAGCGTCTGCATCGTCAATAGTAGTGTGACCAGATAATCACAAAACCATATTAACTTTACTTGCATAGTGTATTTTTTTATCTACTTCAGCATAAATTAATTCATAAAGTCATAGAAATTAAACATATTTTAATTTAGCAAACACGATAGCATAAAGTAGGAGTTCGTCCTCGTGAACCAAACAATTTTATTTGTTTTAATCCACAGAATTTCCTCTACATTACACTAAATTTTTAAATAATTTTTTGTTGAAATCATATCTTTAAAATTACAAGGTCCTCTTAAAAAACCTGACGTAAGAGAGAAAATCTACAAACAAAGTTTTACTATAGTTTCGTAAGTATATTGATTGCTACCATTTATACCAATTTTTTTTTTTGTACTTTTAATATTCATCATAATGATAGAACTCTATGTAAAGTGGGGAATTTATAAAAAAAATGGTAGCTAAAATAGCGAACTCGATTCAAAAAAGCCAAGAAAATAGCTAATAGCTAAACGAAAATTTCTATAGCTAAACGTCGAAAATAAAAGCTACAAAATATGTAAACTGGCAACACTGATGCTGGGCACACGAAGGCAGTCCCATTTTGTCGTGGGACTAGTACACAGTGTTGCCGGGTCTTCGGCATGAGAAAACGTCCGTCTTGGTCTAAAAAAAGTTATTTTCTACCCAAAAAACGTCTTTTTCAAATGCGTGCACAAATAATTGTTCTTATTAAACTTTTATTGTATACAATGGTACATAAGTATGTATGTAAGGTATATTAAAATGTCATTTCGACAGAGCACATTTACAGTTCATTGTAAACTGGTTTGAGATCGTTAATATAAAAATCATTTTATACATACACTTGTTATCAGCTGATTCATTCATCAACATTTTGATCGATTGTGGCTATTTTTCTTTTGTTTAATTAATGTTTATTATTTTTCCATAAAAGCCTAGCTCATTATATGACAAACTAAATATTAATCCACATTTCAAACTTTGTGCAAAAATTATGAAAAAATCTGCAAAAGTTTCAGCTAGATTTTCAACTTTTTATTCAGACTTTTAAGAATTGCTTTGAGTATTCAGCTTGATAGCCCATTAAATTTCAGGGTAATAATGTGCAAGTTATAAGTTGCTAAAGAATCGCGTTGATTTTTAATAATTTTTTTCTTCTTGTAGACATTTGTTCGGTGGTCGGTTGCCGAAAGTGAAGGAACATGGCAACATTTCAGCCTTTTTTGCGTTCATTACATTTTTAATGAAGCCTTAAAAAAGTCGCTTACTTTTTTCTGACTTTTTATCCTGCTACAGTTTTTTTGGTGCTTTTGCGAGCGCGCGTGTTGCAGTAGATCAGCTCTTCCTGATTTGGCTTTTAATGTGCAATTGCAAACATTGCAATAAGCCTCTTAACCTCAAGTGTTCTCAAAACCAGCCAAGAGTCCAAAAAATGCGCGTGCGCTTGCTTTGCATCATATTTAAGTCATCTGTGTCCAAATAATAAATATCTTTTGAAGAAGCTGCTGCAAAAAACAAAGCTTGTAAATATTTATTGAGAAAATAATTCAAAATCAGTTCTACTTACAAGATTTAGTAACAGAGAAAAATTACTGAGAAGATAAAAAACGTAATTTTTTACACAAAAAACGTCCAAACGTCAACAGGATACAAAAAACGTCCAAATGACGTTAGAAACGTCAACCTGGCAACGCTGCTAGTGCAGCGGTCGGCAAAAGTTAAACTGTGTCTGTGTTGGTGAGCACAAGAGAACTGCTCCGCATGAGCAACCCAGTAGGAAATTACGAGAAGTGAAACAAAATTTTTAACGCATCGGGCTTCAATAAAATTATATAGATACATATATTTAATTCATATCGTCAGCAGAATGCAAAACGACGTAACAAACATCGTCGCTGAAATGCAAAAAGTCGTAACTCATAAAAAATTCAAAATTAAATTTTTCATTGATATGATGGATTTCATCGAATTACAACTCCCCACATCGTTTTATGAAAAAAAAAATATTGTTCACGACTTTTTTCATTTCAGTGACAATTTTTGTTAAGTCGTTTTGCATTTCAGGTGACGATATGAATGTATTAATCGCTCATTTACTAAAAAAGTGTCCTAATCCAAAAAAAGCTAAAAATCTAGTTAAATATGCAAACATGAACGTTACCTACTTATGTGTAAAAATTTCATATGCATCTGGGACGATTACCACTAGTCATTAGAACAAAAATGTATTACTTTTTCCTAGGGAGTATATGTAAATTCAAAACTTGAATGCCGTTTTTCCCGAGTTTTTTAGTTTTTTGAGTTATGACAGTATTAGAGTAATACGTACATACATAAAATCTCAAATAAAAAATTCATTTGGATTCACCCACGTCAATATTGAAATTCATGTTCATCAAAATTTTCCATATCATTGTGAAATTATTAAAAATGTCGTTTAATAGCATATTCCCTAGTTTTTCAAAGATCGTACAACACAAAAGGCATTGTATACCTCCAAAATAATTTTCAACGTATGTATGTACATACACATTTCTCGCAATAAACAAAGCAGAACACCCATCCGCTATGTTGATTCGTTGCTGTCTCGCTAACGTCTAAAGCCCAAAATACAATAACGCAGTGGCAGTGGCAGTTTTGCGAAATAAACTGTTTTTTAGAAAGTGTGGTGTCCAATGAAGCGACTCACAATACAGCAGTGACAGCTAGCAGTACTGCTCAGTTTAGCCCAAATTATAAATTCACTGCCGCTGTCTTCATCGCAGTAAACTTCGCATATTGAATTTGACATAAATGATACGCAGCCAACTTCTGTTTATGTCACTGAATCCTAAAAGGCAACAACAAAAATCTAAACAAACAAAAGGGAATGCCAAAAAAAGCAGTCACTGACAACGCCGTATTGTGTTTGCTTCGGCAGTGACAGCTAATCTTGAAAACTCACTGCCACTGCCACAGCGCTATTGTATTTTGGGCTTAAAAGATAGAGCGTAAGAATACGTGTGAAGTGCAGTGTTGCCGCGAATCATTTTTAGTGGTAGCCAAATTCCTTTTAAAAAAGGTCTACAAAGAGCTAAAAAAATTCGTTGTGGCTAAAAATGGTAGCTATAATTTTTTACTTACATATATGTATATGTAAAAGGGCAAATACACGACACAAGCTTGCTGGCACCATCAAGTGATTGTACCATCAGGCTTGAAGCATATAACATACCAGCTTACTGGTACAATATTTATTTATTTACAAATGAGGTCCAAAAAAGGCCGAAATGAGTAGAGCCGAAATCTCATAATTTTTCCACAAACACGGCTTTGACTCATATAGCTATAGATAAGTTAACAGCCCTAACACTTTTATAGTTTGTATAAAAACATAAGGAGCACACAATACAATACAATACACACATACATATATATATATATAGCAGAATCTTTCTTAGTTTAAAAATTCATCTCGTATATAAATGAAAAAAATTAGATCAAATTAAGCATACACATACACCTTTTCCATATCAAGAAAGAATAAATTTTCCAAAGGGCTAAAAAAGGGCTAGGGGCAATTTTAAAATTACGTGGCCAAAAAAAGTATCTAAATCTAGCCACGAAAGGGCTAAAACGGCAACACTGGTGAAGTGATCGTCCACAATTTTGCTATGAAGCGCCGACCACTCATCGACCACTGTATTACAGGCTAACCTAATATTCACACATGCCGCCAATTTACTGTCAAAAATTTCTCCTGCACATACAATTTGTATGGGACCAACCGAAACTTAACGGTGTGCAACTGAAGCTAACTCAATTTCCAATTTTTGTCCTGCGTGACATTTTGATTTGACATTTCGCTCAATGAAATCAAATGCAAACGCACGCAAGCCAATTTCGGGTGATGCAAGAAAAAAATCCTACGGCGTGCCTACCAAAACGCAAGCCGGGAATATTAAGTTAGCCTGTTAGTGCGTCACGGTCATGGTTGCCACATGTTATTTATGTAATAATAGTGGATAATTTTCGTTCATGGGCTTTGTGGTCTCTTTTGTTTATACGTATAGTGAAGAAATGGATGTTAGAACTTTTTAGTAACTAATAACTATTAGTTTAGGGAAAATTTTACATATACAAGTTTTTACTCTTGTAAAAGTGTAAAAAAATTTGGCTGGTATAATTCATTTGTTTAATACTTGGGTACCTATTTAGTAGTATAAAATCTTTCAATGTTTAGGTTCTATTATTTTCATAAAAATGTGCTTTACCATAAGTAGGTATATAGTTCTGCAAAAGAGATTACTTCATAAATATTATCCATTATTTTTGGGTATAAGCCAGAATTAAAATTTCTTATATATTTGTATAGGTAAATCATTTTATTCTGAAATAAAGCGTGTTATTTGTATATTACCATCATTTATTAACTCAAAGTGTAGTTCACATTCAGGGTCATATATTTTGTGTTTGGTTTGTAGCAAACGCATGCAACTAAAAATCTAAAAGAAAAGTGTATTATACACACGCTACTTTTGGCTTTGGGTATTTTTTGCCAAGATTACGAATAAAAAACAATCGACTCAGCGTGTGGTCTTGCCATTCTATCCCAGTCGACCAAATATCCGCAAACGATATCGTAAGCAGATGTTTTGCGGACGCTGTGCGGATGAATCTAATGAAAACAATAATGGCTAACCGAACTTTTTCAGAACTTTTTTCCACAACGCGTTGCTCTGTTTGTGGCAGGCAAAGTGCCGTTCTCAATGGTTTGTAAACGTCTCGTTAGCGGATCACTTTGGATGTTTTTCAAACGTATGTTTTTCCCTGTCCCATTGCTAGTTTGGTCTTCCCATATAAAAAGGAAGAAGTTTTTATTTTTATATGAAATTAATGTACTGAAGGTCGGCGAAAATCCTCGGACTGAACCCTCCGCGAGGGTGCCGGCTGGAAATGGGCACTACAGAGCAATCCCGTGCGATGTCGGGAGGGTGTCCAGCTAAGATCAGGGATCAGTGCTGTGTGCTTATGCGTTTTCATCGCTATGCCATACGGAAATGGTCTTTGATCGTGGTCTGGAGGTAGGGGCTGGATCAAGGCGTTACGCGTACCGTACTGAGGATCAGCCTGGCTGGGAGCCCCTAAATAGCCCAGTCGCTAACGGAGCCCTCTGGGAACCAGGCCGCACCCGGTTGCATTCGATGGCCTTACCCTGGGTACTGCGGATCTCTGCCCGGGGCCGACGAACCCTTTCTCCGCAACTCGTGGGAATATGAGCGAATTAAAGAACAAACCAAAATCAACAACAACGGAAATTGAGACCGGCACTCATAAAAAGTCGGAAGGGCAGTTGCCCAGACACCATGGGGCCCATGCGATGCAGGGTCCCTCTACTAGCCACGACGTGGCCAGCACTAGTGGGGTACGTAAGCCTCTGGCGATGCCGGGGTCAGGCGTATCCACAAAAGCGGAAAGGAAGAGGGTGGGGGAACCGAAACGGGATTTTCCCGGCACCAGTGAAGGCAAACCTGGCTTGCAGCTTGCAGCCCCAGGGGGCGCCAGAGCTGATGCGCGGGCCCCGCCTCCCCCTACTCCTACGGCATTTACAAGGCCTGATGACAGGCCACCACCAAGCGCAGCCATTGCCAAGCACAGGAAGGCTGCCATGAGGATCTTGAAGAGATCCGCATTAACCCCGGACCTATGTAGCAGGGCGCTGCCCTGTCACGTGGAAGAGATCCGGTCGGAGATAGCGTGGGCAATGACGATAGTGCCCGACTATCAGCTGCCGGTGCTCGGAGAGCCACCAGCTGCGGAAAAGCGCAATAGATCGATGGAGGTTGCGCAAAATAAGTCGAAAAGAGCCAGGACGCAAGGCCCCACCTTTGCTGAGGTAGCCAAAAATCGGATCCTCCTGGGTGTGCTCGATGAGAACCAGGAAGACGAATTGGCACTGAGAGCTCATTGGAAATGGGTTAAAGCGGAATTGGCGAACATCTGCGTCAGCGTGCTTCGGGAGCACCCCGGACCACCTCCGATATGCCGGGACGCAGGTTGGTTCCAAGGTAACGTCAAAATCGTCGCGTGCGACGATGAAAGGTCGGCGGGCATGTACAAGAAGGCGATGGCCATGCTGGGAGAGGTCTACCCCGGAGCGATGCTACGGGCTGTGGACTTCAAGGACATCCCATCCAGGCCCAGAGCAAGGGCATGGATACCGGCCAAACCGACCGAACCAGAGAGAGTGCTTGAGATTATAAGGCTCTTTAATCCCGAGTTACCCTCTCACAATTGGAAGGTGGTGCGGCTAGAGCACAGCACAAAGGCGACTCGTCAGGCGGTCCTTTTGCTAAATAAGGAGTCGTTGCCACTCCTCGAAAAGACTGGGGGCGTCATCAATTACGGTTTCGACACCGCAAAGATAAGGGTGTACACGAACGACGTGAACGCAGCAAGAGGCAACGAAGTTGAGCCGGAAGCAGACAACAGCGAGGATGAGGTGGACGAGGAATCCAACCAGGCCAATCCGATGGATGACCTGGCTGGTGGATACGCCTCATCTACATCCTCTCTGGGAGTCGACCATATCTTCCGGCAATACACAGAAGAGGAGCTGATGTCAGATGACGACGAGGCGAACTCAACAGTGGTGGAGGGGGTGGGAAGGTGCGGCCAAGATGGTTCGCGTCCTCCAGATTAATCTCCACCACAGCAAAGCAGCGTCGGCTGCACTGCTGCTCCAGCTCTCCAAGGGGGCAGCAGACATCGCCCTCATCCAGGAGCCTTGGGTGATAGGGCATGGAATATGCGGGCTGAAGTCGGCAGAGCACACTTTGATAAGTGGAGCTACCATAGGTAAACCAAGGGCCTGCATCCTTGTTAGTACCAAATTAAAAATATTGTTTCTTCCTCAGTTCAGTGACGAGGACACCACCACCATCAGTCTGGAGGCGAACGGACGACAAATAAGGCTTGCCTCGATGTATCTGGCACATGACAGGCCTGTTCCAACCCTACCGGTCGAACATTTAGTGGAGCGCTGGGACGGGGCCCTGATTCTAGGAGGTGATGCAAATGCACACCATAGCACATGGGGAAGTGGAGACATCAATGAACGGGGTGAGTCACTCTTTGAATTCATACTAAAATCTAACTTAGTTATAAGTAATAGGGGTAGCGAGCCTACCTTCATAACGAAGAGCAGAAGAGAGGTCCTGGATGTTACCCTCGTCTCAGAAGATGCGGAGGTCATGATCAGGAACTGGAGGGTGCTTGATGAGCATTCCTTCTCTGATCATCGCTTCATCCAATTCGACTTAGACGGGGTCCCGTCCAAGGTACCTGCCAAAAGAAATCTAAGGAAAGCCGACTGGCATAAGTACAGAAGAGAGCTTGACAAACGGCTCTCAAGAACCACACTAGCAATTCCAGGAAACTCTAGGGACCTAGATAGGCTGGCAAATCGCTTTACTGCGGCATGTGGCAAGGCTCTGGATCAGGCCTGCCCCATGGTAAAGCCGAGAGGCAAAAAGAAACCACCTTGGTGGAGTACAGAGATTGACGAGGCCCGCAAAAATTGTCGTAGAGCCTTCAATCTCGCAAAATCCTCGGGAGGCGATACGCAATGGGAAATCTATAAGTTAAACTTGAAAGATTACAAGAAACTACTAAGGAAGAGCAAGAGATCCTCATGGAGGAACTTTTGCAGTGGTATGGAATCCGTATCAGAAGGTTCTAGGCTCAGGAAGGTTCTCTCTAGTTCACCTCGTATCGCCCCGGGATGCTTGCTAAGATCCGACGGAGCGTGGACGGAAACTGGGGAGGAATCCCTGGACCATCTTCTGAGCACGCACTTTCCAGGCGCCACCGAGCAGCCATTGAACGGGCCAATAAGAAATAGAGGTCAACCGGTTACGGTAGACCTCATCACCAAAGAAAAACTGATGTGGGCAATAGGGTCCTTCAAGCCTTACAAATCTGCGGGTCCAGATGGTGTTACACCGATTCAGCTACAGCAATCTATGGAGCTAAGCTCAAAATGGCTGTATGTTATTTTTAAGGGAGTCCTCACTCTCAACTACATTCCGGAGACCTGGCAAAGGTCAAAGGTTGTCTTCATTCCTAAAGCGGGAAAAACATCCCATACTCGCGCCAAGGATTTTAGACCTATCAGTCTATCATCTTTCCAGCTCAAGATATTGGAGCGACTGATTGAATCCTTTCTTAGGGAATCGGTTGCAGACAAGCTTATGGCTTCGCAGCATGCCTATATGAAGGGGAAGTCCACCGAAACAGCGCTACACGAAATCGTGTCGCATATTGAGAAATCCCTTGCGATAAAGGAATACACCTTGATAGCATTCTTAGACATTGAGGGTGCTTTCAACAACATCACACCTGAAGCAATCACATCAGCTCTAACTGGTCTGGACATCGACTCACGGCTGGTGTCGCTTATACGACAGCTGCTAGTTGGCAGGGTCGTGCGGGCGGAACTGGCGGGCGTGTCGCTGGACAGATACGTTTGCAGGGGAACCCCGCAGGGTGGGGTCCTCTCCCCCCTTCTTTGGGTCATGGCGATTAATGAATTATTGCAGACCCTGGAAGGGGGGGAGGCTCCAAGGTCATAGCGTATGCTGACGACCTTGCGGTGGTTGTGAGTGGAAAATTTCCACAAACTCTTTGTGACATTATGCAGGACAGACTAAGGTTAATCGAGAGATGGACCAAGGAAAAAGGTCTGGGTGTTAACCCAGAAAAAACGGACCTGGTGCTCTTTACCAGGAAGTACAAAATCCCCTCACTTCAGCTCCCTGCCATAGGCAATAAGATTCTGAAGCTAGGGGAGTCTGCAAAATATCTAGGCGTAGTCCTGGACAAAAAGCTTAACTGGGCGCAAAATATACAAGAGCGTGTTAAAAAAGCGACGGTAGCCCTCTACAGTTGCAAGGGGGCGATTGGGCGTAGCTGGGGGCTGTCCCCTAGCATCATGTATTGGTTATACACGGTAGTTGTTAGGCCGATTCTATTATATGGGGTCTTGGTATGGTGGCCAAGTCTCAACAGGAAATCTACAACTGAAGCACTCCAAAAGGTGCAAAGAACTGCGATGCTCTGCATCTGTGGGGCCCTGCGCACAACTCCATCGGAGGCTATGTGCGTGCTCCTCGATATTTTACCAATTGAAATTGTTGGAAAGCAATCAGCGGGGTGTGCCGCCTTGAGGTTGAGGGAACTACCAGGCTGGAGGGACACTCAGGAAGGCCACACCGCAATCTTAAAGGACATAAATATACCGGACACGGATTACTGTGCACCAAGGTTGAACTTCACAAAGAGGTATAGGATTTCCATTCCAGATAGAAAATTCTGGTCAGGAGGGGCTCCCGATGACAATGGATCACTCCACCTCTACACCGATGGCTCTAAGCTAGACGGCAAGGTAGGAGGGGGGGTCTTCTCGGCCCGACTGGGGCTGGAAATATGTTTTCGCTTACCCAACCACTGCAGCGTCTTTCAAGCTGAGGTCGCTGCCATACAGGAAGCGGTTGAACACCTACGTACAAGAGAAGTCATTTATAACGATATCTTCATCTACTCAGACAGTCAGGCCGCACTCAAAGCGCTCGACTCGGTCACATGCAGTTCAAAAACCGTAGCGGACTGTCGCAGATCTCTAAACGAGATGGCTGAGCAGTCTGCTCTTCACTTGGTATGGGTTCCGGGGCACCGGAACATACCAGGCAACGAAAAGGCGGACGAACTTGCAAGAGAGGGCACATCCGCTCCACTTTCGCAGGCCTGGAAGGGATTAGGCATGCCGCTCGCTACCTGCAAGCTCATTCTAAGGGATCTGTCTCTTAAACTAGCAAGGGACAGGTGGGATAGCCTCACCACTTGCAACAACACGAAGCTTACATGGCCTAAATGGGACAAAAAGCGGTCGAAGGATCTCCTCATGCTGAGCAAAGGAGACCTAGCCGCAGCTGTGGGTCTGCTAACAGGCCATGTTGCTATCGGGGGGCACGCGGAGAGGTTAGGGATCCCCCATAACGACTTCTGCAGAAGCTGCAGAAATGAGGAAGAGCCAGAAACCTTGCGGCACCTGTTATGCGAGTGCCCCGCACTTTGTAGAAGAAGACAAAAGTTCATGGGTTCAGGATTCTTTGAGGACCTAACCGACATAGCCGAAGTAGGCATACGGCAACTTCTGGGTTTCGCAAAATCCACACGATGGTTTGAGTAGGAGGGTTCTAACGATCCGCGTGGTATCACAACGGGCCCACAACCTAGGGCCTATGTGTGCTAGTGGGGTCACTGGCAGCCACTTTAACCTAACCTAACCTAACCTAATGTACTGAATAATTTATGACAAGCTAACAATCTATTTGCCGCCTCTTTACTAATACTATTTACTTTCACAAATTCTTCGCCAAATCGAACCTTAGGTTTTGTGTCGGTTGGGATAGGTTGGGATACTTTGCATCGGTGGTCTACATACTAACACATTAAAACAATTCAATGAGTCATACTTTGCCACCTGTTAAAAAATTTAGTCCAAATTATTTAATAATCAATGCCACTTGATCCGCACCGTTCGTTCGATTTTGAGAAATGAGGTGTAAGATTAAAGGGCTTGGGTTGTAGATGTGCGGTGAGGTTTTAGGTTTTGGTTTTTGTTATTTTATGGCCTTATAGCAATTATATTCAAAAATTTGTATTGAGCTTGAGGCCGTTTTTAATGAACAACTATTTATTAAAAATCGTTGATTATAATTGTTATAAGGCCATAAAATAACAAAAACAAATAACTTAAGGACGAGCACACTCAAAAGTTAAACATTTTATAAATAGAATTATTAACAAAACCAACAACCACATGATCAAGCTTAAATAGCACTGGAATAGCTGCGCTTGATTGTAGTTGGCTTCACAAATGAAAAAGGGGAAAAAAGCAACAAGAATTTACAAGGAGAAATTAGCACGGTGCGTAGGCAACTGGCTGAGTCAGTTGGGGTCGTTGGATCGAATCCCACAGAAAGAAGTCTGATAAGGAAATGTGGTGATTTCCGAAATAGCTATCACTTCTACCATTTTTTCATAATTATTGTTGCTTTTCCACAATAGTTTTTTACTAAAAACGGCCTCAAGCTCAATAAAAATGGTTGAATATAAGTTTTAGTTTTTCGAAAATAGTTGCCACCCTTTCAAAATTAGAGTTGTTCAAATTATTTAAAAAGTTAAATGAGCTGGTGCAATATGGGTATCAACCAAAATGGTTTGGAAAATGCTTTATTTCCTAAGTACATGTAGGAAGGTTGCCACCTGTTTAAAACTACACAAAACTCAATTTAAACTATGGTAATTTTAATATTTACCACCATATGGGTGACAGACGTGAGAGCGTAGCAATAGAAAATATTTTGAAGTGTGTTACAACCTTTTGAAAAGTCTAAGGACCGGTTTCTCAAAGCCTGGTTGACACAATCTCTGGTTAAACATCGTTATCGACGTTACCGACACCGTGTTATATGCATGGAGTCGAAGACTTATTGGCAAGTTATACATATGAAATATGGGCATCAAACCAGACATTTTTAAGGCAATCTTTGAAGAGGGTTGCCAACATTAAAAAATTGTATGTTAATTAATAATAATAAGTTGAATGAATTACTAAAAATGGGTATGTATTTAGGAGAGTCGCCACTTGTTCAAAAAATTAAATGCAACTTAATTCATCAGTTAATTGTGATATGTGTCAAATGTCAATGTCAAACGACAGATTTAAAAAAATTTAGTTTGAAATTACTTTTAAAGACAGTTGCCACCTTTAACTTATACACAAGTTAGATGAAATATTAAAATATGAGTGTCCAGTCATCTTTCGTTAGAAAATGTTATTGGTTAGGGTTACCATTAATTCGAAAAGTAATATCTAGGGCTCCGAGTCTCATGCAAATCCATATTTTTGCTAGGCGTCTTCAAATGGAAATAATTAAGTTATCTATACGAATCATAAAATTTTCTTTAAAATGGCATTCAATCGTATGTACGTATTTTTGCATATTTTGCAGTAAATGCATGTTTTTGGATATTTTGCTCAAAATACCTGTTTTTGCATATTTATTGTGCATATTTTAATATATTTTACAATAAATGCATACGGTTTTTGCATATTTTAGCTTTTTTTGATTTACATCCCTTCAAATTTAGTGCGAAATCTCTTGACACAAAAAATTACCCTTAATTTTTTCCAAAACATTCATCTGAATATCTTCTTCGATAGTCAAGCAGCCATTAAGGCACTCTGCGATGAAAAAATGGTTAAATAAACAATTGGGTATTATTATTGGGAATATCCTGCAAATAAGCAGAGTTTTCTCATAGAAAAATATTGATTTTTAAGAATTCTATACCATTTCTACGAAAAGTTGTTTTTCCCCATATAAAATGCATGTAAAAATTTGGGCGCTTTGAGCGACCACTAAATATTTTTTTATTTCAAAATAAAAATATAGGGATATATATTTTTTTCGGTATAGAACAATCCTAGGGGATGAGAGCATAAAAATTCCGACTTTACTTTTTCACATGCATTTTTGACCACCCTAGTGCACAGAGCCCGCCGTTGGGGTACATGTCGAAAGGATGGCATTACCCTTCAACAGGTTCTGTCGCAGTTGCGATAGCCCTGGCTCAAAAGAGACAGTCGTCTGTGCGAGTGTCCAGCCCTCGAAAGGATGAGGCTTAAGCCACTCGGCAAGCCATTCCTGCAGAATGTTTTAGAGTGCAGCTGCCCCTCTCTGTATGACGTACTGCAATTCCTTAAAGCCGCCAAATGACTGTAGGTTGTTCGAGTTGTGGAATCGAAATGGCAAACTTGCTAATTACTTGTCCCCAAGTCACCAGTGATAATCCACTTAAATCAACCAACCATTCAACTGAACCACTATTAAGCTATCACTATCAATTTTTCTAATTACACAAGATAGTAACTGTCTGCTTGATTATAAACTAATTTTATACATAATATCCTTCGTATTTTGAAGTAAATTGGTTTCGTTATTTTCTTGTTAAAATACATGTGTTGTTTATTTTTGTACCGGCAATAGGAAAACATTTTTAATTGCACTTTTTACTTGTTTATCGCGCATATTTTTGAATTTTGAGTGCATATTATCTTTCTTCTCCATGTCCTCCAACATCAGAATCCTCATCATCAAAAGAGCGTGTAACGAAATCTGCTTCGAATAATAACGATCCTGAAGTATCTTCCCCTTCCTCATTGAAATAGTGGCACCGTCTTTAAAGCCTAACGCAGTAACTCAACCTCTTCCGCCGGTACTCGAGTCTGATACAAGGAAACTGGTTGTGGTTCCACCAAACAAGTCAATCTTTGTCGAGAGACACTTCCAAAGACGATATAAAGTTTTACATCTCATCACAAATTAAAACTGTCGACTTAAGGATCAGGAAATTTAATTTTAAATACGAAAGAAATATTGCTTCATTTAAAATTTAAGTATACTTAGATAATTTTGATGCGCTGCTTAGAAGTTCTTTTTGTCCCCTCGGAGCTTTCGTTAGTGAATTCGAATATAGGCCCAAAAAGGAGATAACTTAGCTAATATTCCCCTTCATAAAACTGAATCAAAAAAAATAATTATTAAATCTGCTTTAAGTATTTATTACCAAAATGTGAGAGGCTTATATACTAAATTAACGAACCTATACCCTAAAGGCCCTGAATATAATTATAATATTCTTTCTTTCACTGAAACTTGGCTGAAACCTCACATTTTCAATTCTATAGACAAGATAGGGAGGACAGAATCGGCGGTGGCGTACTCTTCGCCTCAAAACCATCTGAAGAAGTCGGAAGTGATGGTCAAAATTGCGGTACCCAAGAAGACGACCCAAATATTCGCCTTGATTTTTCGAAAGCCAACTTTAAAAAGCTTAACAAAGAACTGTCTAAATTGTCGTGGCCCGCATATAAAGAAAATATTGAACAAAGCGTTGCACTTTTTAATTTTACTTCACAAAAATTATTTGAAAAGCATGTGCCTAAACACACGTGTTTTCCTGAAGAACAAACACAGTTATGGTTCACTAAAGAACTGAGAACGATCCTATACCTTCGCTTCAAAACCATCTGAAGAAGTTAGTTTTCCACACATTGAATCAGTAGAATTCAAATGCATTCGTGTACAGGTTGGAAAAGGGTTTAGTTACTTAGCTCTATGCTATATCCCTCCCCGATCTGACACATTGGTGTATTCACAACACATCTCTTTACTTAAATTAGTTAATCTATTGACTTAACCCTCTCGATTTAATGATTGTGTGGGGTGATTATAATTTACTAAGCATATCATGCAACATCATTGATAATGATATCGTACCTTTCGGGTCTAGTGAGTGCAACAACGTATTTTTAGAGATGGCTGAACTCTTCCTTACTCAGGTTAATGTACTTCACAATAAGTTTGGTAAAGTATTAGATCTTGTTTATGTTGATGATGCTTCTAAGTCCGTTGTAAATAAGTGAGATCCACTAGTTTTGCCCGGATATGTCTACCACCTTGCTATGGAGATTTCTTACGAAATTATAAGTGATGGTCAAAATTGCAGTACCCAAGAAGACGAACCAAATATTCGCCTTGATTTTTCGAAAGCCAACTTGGCCCGCATATAAAGAAAATATTGAACAAAGCGGCGTTGCACTTTTTAATTTTACTTTACATAAATTATTTGAAAAGCATGTGCCTAAACGCATGTGTGTTCCTGAAGAACACAGTTATGATTCACTAAAGAACTGAGAAATTTGAGAAACAGAAAGTCACGTTCTTTTAGATTACACAAAAAAACCGGTTTTCACTCATACTATGTAAAATACTCACTTTTGCGTCATATGTTTTTTGAATTAAATAAAAAGTGTTATAAAGCTTACTTGTGTAAAATCAAACGGCTTATAATATATAACCCCAAATCATTTTATGATTTCGTAAACTTCAAACGAAATGTACGTGGGTTTTCTTTCCGCCAAGAAATATTAAAATACCGTCTCTAGTGATAATCAGATAATCAGATTTCTAACATGTTTGCTCAGTTTTTCAAATCCAATTATTCCATTAACTCAGGTGCTAATATTGACTATCCTTTTAAACTACGTCCAATGAACTCAATAAATATCCCAGTAATATCTCCCGGTGATGTAGTGGTTTATCTGAAATCCTTAAAGCAGTCCTAAGTTATGGTCCTGACCAGATCGCTACTTATTTTCTTACAAATTGTGCTGATTATCTCTATGAGCCGTTAATAGCGTTATTTAATTTGTCTCTTCA